ATCTGAATTCCCAGGAATTCTGCTCTCAGCAATCTGCAGTGCCCTGGCAGAGGGAGCTGTGGCCATTGGTGCCTCTCCCGTTCGCTTCTCCAGCAGCATTGCCGGGATCATTGCAGGGCTGGGCCTCTCTCATCTCTGCTTTCGCTGCTTTCTCTAGGTATGGGGACATGAGGAAAGAAATTGGCTTCAAAATCAGGGATATGTGGTACAACCTGGGTGAGTTCCAGCTAAAGAATTCTCTTTATTCCAGCTCTCAAGCTGCCTTTCAGATCCTTTATTTCCTTATAAAAGCTGCACGTGTTTCATGTGGGGAAATGCACTTACAGTTCAGCTGTTTCAGCACACAAAAATCTCTTTTTTTCTGTGAACAACTTGGAAAAGCTGATTTTCTCCTCACATCAGCTGCTGAGATAATTTCTTAGATTCCCTCCAAAGGATGTTCTGCCATGTAAAGGACGAGTGGGATTTTTCAGAGAGCCTTTTTTTGTGATTTACAATTCAGCTCAATTATTTCCTTGGGCTATTCCTGAATTTTGGAGCTGTAACCTGGTAATTCTTGAATAAAATCCACATAAAATCCACATTCTGAGCAGAGTGGTTGCTGTGTGAGTAATGTGCTTAAACATTGGGAAATGCAAATCCTGCCACTGGATGTGTTTGACTCTGAATTTCTTGCAGGTCCCCACAAAATCAAGTTCATCCCAGCGATGGTGGGGCCGATCCTGGAGGTGACCCTGGTCCCAGAGCCTGAGCTGAGGAAAGCAACAATTCCCATTTTTTTTGACATGATGCAGTGTGAGTTCAACTTCAGTGGGAATGGGAACTTCCACATGGTAAGGGACGCCATATATAACCCATATATACAATAATACAGTATATAGAGATATTAAATGCAATATAATATAAAATATATATATATAATGATGAAATGTTATATAATAACATATATAATAATGAAATATATATAATGAATAGAATGTTAAATATATACACAGTATGTCAAAAACCACAATTATATATATATTATATTTTAATATATAATATATTCAGTATTATGCATAATGTAATTGTATATTCATTATATAATGATGAAATATTATATAATAACATATATAATAATGAAATATATATAATAATGAATATAATATGAAATATATACCCAATATGTAAAAAGACAATATTTTAATACATAATATTATATATTCAGTATTATGCATAATGTAATTGTATGTTCATTATATAATAATGAAATATAATTATATAATATATAATAAAGAAATATATATAATAATGAATATAATATGAAATATATATATACAATATGTAAAAAACCACAATTATATATATATTATATTTTAATATATAATATATTCAGTATTATGCATAATGTAATTGTATATTCATTACATAATGATGAAATAATTATATAATATATAATAATGAAATATTTATATAATAATGAATATAATATGAAATATATACACAATATGTAAAAAACCACAATTATATATATATTATATTTTAATATATAATATATTCAGTATTATGCATAATGTAATTGTATATTCATTATATAATGATGAAATAATTATATAATAATATATAATAATGAATAAAATGTGAAATGTATAGACAATATGTAAAAACACACCATTTTTTAATGTATATTATACATACAGTATTATGCATAATGTAATTGTATATTCATTATATAATCATTAAATATAGTTATATAATAATATATAATGATGAACTATTTATATAATAATGAATATATATAATTAATATGAAACATATATACCATATGTAAAAAGACATTATTTTAATATATAAAATTATATGTTCAGTATTATGCACAATGTAATTGCATATTCATTATATAATAATGAAATATAATTATATAATAATATATAAAAATGAAATATATATAATAATGAATATTATATTAAATATATATAATATGTAAAAAACCACAATTATATATATATAGATAATATTTTAATATATAATATATTCAGTATTATGCCTAATGTAATAGTCTGTTAATTATATAATGATGAAATAATTATATAATAATATATAATAATGAAATATTTATATAATAATGAATATAATATGAATTACATATACAATATGTAAAAAACCACTATTTTATATATATTTTAATATATAATATATATACAATATTATGCAAAATGTAAACGTATAGTCACCATATAATAACGAAATATAATTATATAATAATATATAATAATGAAATATTTCTATAACAATGAATAGAATATGAAATATATATACAATATGTAAAAAGACACTATATTGTAATATATAATATATATTCCGTATTATGCATAATGTAATTGTATATTCATTATATAATGATGAAATAATTACAAAATAATGTATGTACTAATGAAATATATATAATAATAGATATAATATGAAATATATGCAGTATATAAAAGACACAGTTTTTTAATGTATGAGAGTATATATACAATATTATGCACAATGTAATTGTATATTCATTATATAATAATGAAATAATTATATTATATATATAGTAATTAAATATACATTATAATGAATATAATATGAAATACATATACAATATGTAAAAAGACACAGTATTTTAATATATAATATATATTCAGTATTATGAATAATGTAATTGTGTATTCATTATATAATAATGAAATATAATTATATAATAATATATAATAACAAAATATATATAATAATGAATAGAATACAAAATAAATATATACAATATGTAAAAAGACATTATTTCTATATATAATATTATATGTTCAGTATTATGCACAATATAATTGCATATTCATTATATAATAATGAAATAATTATTAAAATGAACAATTATTAAAATAATATTAAACATATTAAAATAATATATATGTACTAATGAAATATATATAATGAATATAATATGAAATATATACAGGATATAAAAGACACAGTTTTTTATATATAAGATTATATATTCAATATTATGCAAA